AAACCTAAAATAAACAGTATGCTGGTAATTATCATATGTAGTACAACCCAATACCCACACAGTGCAAGCTTCCATCCTACAACAAATCAATAACAACTGCTGCTCCATTCTTTGATCTGGGCCCGCAGGTTTCGCTTCTGCGTATCGAGTTTCCTTTGTGCCCAGCCGCTCCTGTAAGACAAACAAATTTTTCGAACGACCGCATCACATGCAGAGCCAACGAAAAAGAACGTGCCCGCGTGCACGCTCAAGCTAGGAGCGCGCAGACGCTCGGCAGCGTGCCTTTGTGCTTTCTCTCTCAAGGCTGGCAGTCGCTCTGGGAAACGCACCATCGGATCTATTTCCGACCCTGGAGTGGCGCTACCAATATCCATCAAACGGAACACGGAGCCGACCTTCGTAACGACGGCGTGTTACGCGATGGCCGACCCGGTGTAAACCTGCCAATAAACCGACACCGCCCCTTCTGGTCTGCAACATCCTTCTTCTCTCTACCATACAATCGTGATTCGATGTCCTTTAGTTATTTTTTTTCTCTCGATTCATTTCTGAACTGTGAGAAGGGGGCGGCACTTGGAGCTGCAGCGCCTTCGAACGTCTAGTCGCAATCAGGGACGGCCATCAAAGGGGCGTTCACACCAGGTGAAAAGTCAGCTGGCCACGACGGTTATCCTTGTTTAAAAGCCTCGCTGATGACCCTATCGATCAGCGTACGTGCGAGGGCCGGAGCAATCGCTCCCACCTGCATGAAGGAATCGGAGAACTCTGATATCAGGCGCTTCTAGTAGCTTCTAGTAGACCCGAAAGTGTCTTCGATCCTTCTGATGCCCGTGTCCCCCAAGAGCGACGAACGGGAACAACCTACGCCGACAAACCTCAAGCACATGCAGCGTGCACGCGAAGCTACTTTTGACAGGCTTGCAATCACATCGTGCTTACTTTTCGAGCACCAGGAGACTGGAAGCTTGCCAGAGGTACCATCGCTTGGGAACTGCACGTGTTCGAGGCTTCACGGTGTCGGTCGTTTCTGTTTTGTTTGTCGCTCCAGTGGGACTCGAGCATTAAAGACAAAGTTGCAAACATGGCTCGTGAGAGGCTAATTCGCAAGTTTGCTTATGAATGTGATTGACCATGTTGCAACCGCTTGTAACAGCATCCAAAAGAAAACACTGGCAGCATCCATCGGCTATTTTTGTAACACTTCATGTCTGCGTATATATTGCACAACCTTTTTTTTTTTTACCGTCTACTTTAAATAGTTTTAAAATATTGTTATATAAGCCGAAAACATTTTTTTTTGTTGTTATAAATGGTGCGTAGATTTTTGTATTGCAATACTGCAAAAACCTTCACTCTAGTTGTATTCTGGAAGAGGAATTTCGGCAGTATCCACCCATTCGCAAAACTTATGAAAGGGTCATAGCTTCCACCGCTATAAAACCGAAATGTGCCTCTAACGACACAAATGGTTGCCGATATCAGTGAATTTAAGCTCCTTTTCTGTAAAGTTCCCAGATAAGAGCTTTCTACAAGTAGCGGCATTCTTTGAAGCGCCGACTGCGTGACGGTGCAGGTTTTAAGAAGCGAATGGCGGCGCACAGCAGACGCCATGACGCCATTTTGTTCCAGCAGAATGTGCTTTGTCATGTGTATCGGTTGTCGTTACTTGTAAAAGGGAGTATCAAGGGACTTTACTTTTCGGCTTTAAACTGCTCTGTATTCGCGCTTTCAACATTAAAAGAACGTTTGGGTTTGGTTCTCTACATCTGTAGTCGGACGCGAGCTAACAATTCGCCAGAAAAATACCGCCACGTAGCAGTCACGGCATCGCATCGCACTGCGGACCAACTAAAAAAAAAAAAAAAAACTCTAGCCATAGTGAGTTTTATGACTTTATAGCGTGCGCCTCGATAGCGGACTACTTGCGCATTGCATAGAAACAGTGGCTCGCGGCAATCAGAAACTTGTGTCTGGCCATAGCCAACCAAGACACGTTTCCTAGGCTAACATCTTTATTTTATCTTCTTTTCCTGCTCCTTGTACTTCTACGCTGAAAGAATCAATAAAAATGCCACATTCTTGCTCTTCGACTTGCACATTGCAACTGGGCAACTGCGCAGTACGAACCCACAGTTCTCGATTTTGAAGCATAACTGATGAAATTAGCCAAGACCTTGAGTGTTGAATTCTGACTGGTTTACCTTGACGAAAATAGTTCCTTGAGAAATGGAACGAGGGAGACAAACAACAAACACAAATCTCCAAACACTGCTTGGTGACTGGTGCGCAACCGAAATGATCCGCCTGGTCCTGGTATCGAACCAGGGACCTCTCCATTTCCAGTGGAGCGCTTTACCAACTGAGCTAACCAGGAGTTAGACATCAGTATATCAAACCGGTTTTATCAGCTGCCACCAGTCTAAGACCAAGAAGAGTGAACGGCCTGCATTTTAAGGTTATGATAAGATTGCAATTAATGCAAAGGTGCAAGCGAGCTGGACAAGAATGACGATAATAAACCCTGGGGAAGGAGAAAAAGGGGGACAAAGGACAAACACAAAGCTACAAAGACAGCTAGGGGACTGGTGCGCGACCAAGCAATGAATAGGACCAAAAGAGATGTCTACTCTGCCGGATTCATTCTTACGTGTTTTGTTTTGTTTTGGTGTAGAGTATCCATATGCATTTGTGCGGCGCAATCTCTTCAACGAATACCTTCTCTGCCCAGCACGCTTCCTGCAGGTGTCGCAGCCGGGCGTAATACTCCAGCTTGCTGCTGGCCTCCCCGCTTCAAAAGAGGACCAGCCAAGATCTCCTTAGATCAGGTGATTGGCAACTCGCCCATGACATCCTAATGTCTGTCGTCCGATTTCCCTTTGTCGTCGCTCGAGGTATTCTCGGGTCTCGCTGGGGGGCACAAGTAATAACATTGGCGAAAGTTAGCCCAAGTACGGCGACAGCTTTCCAAAGGTCTCGAGTGATGATGTAGCGCTCGCCAGCACCAAAGGCTCTTTCGACGCAGTACGTTTCGTTTTCTCATGGCTGATATCTTGAAGTTCTTAATCCCGTTCCTCCAGATAATCTTTAGAATTCGTCATTTTCACTCCAAGGTATTTGTACTGCGTACCAACAAGAATCGCACTGTTCTGGAAACAAACTCAGTAGCGCCATCTATGGAAGTGTCCTGGCACGCTTCCGGTAAGCGTATATTTCATGATTTATTACTCTGCGTTCTTTCACCATAAGAGTGATTTACGACTTAGAGTGCCATAAGGGACCGTTTCCCTAAAAGATCGCGTATATTTGATCCCGCAAATGCTACAAAACCCGCCGTCTAGTTCAGGCGCTAGCACGTTTCAACTCACGTGAAAAATGGAGAATATATATCTACGCTTATGGCAGTGCAGTTTAAAGCCTAAGCCAGTACGCGTACTTTAGACAAAGGTCTTCACTGTACTACTTCTAAGTGCGTTAGTTAGAGCGCTAACCAGTTGCTTTCGGCCAACTAAAACAACCAGGGGATACGACAAGAAGTGCAGAAAGAAAAATATGCGTGACTTGCAATAAATATTTATTTCATTTTGTTTCCTTTTGGTGCGCCGTGACGCGTGTTCGAATTGTTCTACGTCGTCAAATTTGTACAGGACTCGTGAATTTGTACAGCCTGTACGTCGATGGTCTGACGAGGCTTCCCTTCGCTGATCGCCATGACAACCGCAGGTAGAACCTGCAAAGAACGAGAGACAAAAAACGGTATTAAGCAATTAATCTCTAAATTAGAAAGACTCAGTGCGTTCCTCTACACAACTACACTCGATTCCCTACAAGACTATGGTTCCGGACTTCGCATGGTAGTTTATAAAACTCTGGATAAGCCCTAATTATCTAAATCAGAAAAACTCAATCCATTCAGCTACAGTCGATGCCCTACAAAACAATGGTTCAAAGCTTCACACGATGATTTCTAGAAACTGACACGCTGCTTGTAAATAATTGCATTATGTCCGACTGTCATAGCACATATGAGCAAGAATCTGTGGTTTAAGGGACAAAGGATCGACGAATGCTCTTTCACATATCTATCACTTTACCTCCTTGAAGCAACATTGGATATATGTTTTTTGAAGGCTAAAGACAGATAAAGAACCATAGGGCCCGGCCACCCCGACAATCACGTAGTCACAGGTTTAGCCAGTGAGATATCGGCATCACCCGGTTGAACCAATCAGAAAGCAACCAGGCGACGATAAACGTAGTTCTACCTAGCCGTACCCTATGGTCCTACGGCTGCCTATGACTGCTTCAATTGCCCGAGATGAAATTCCTGATTGAACAGTTCGACTCTGAATAGAATAGATTTTAACGGTACTCGCGCTGCCAGTTTGATAGGGCAGAACCGTGGCATATTTGTAGCAACACAGCTTGAATACTCCAGTATACAACCTACAGCCAAGAAGGGAAGTCAATAGCTGCAGTGGCCATTGCGCATGTCCTTCTAGAAGCGAACGCTACCAATCACATTTTACAACACACTAACGACAATCCTTCTTTAACATTCTGATCATACCTTCCTAAATAAACGTGCGCCCGACACTTTTTTCAATTTACTCAAGTCCTTCATTAAGTCGAAGGTCTCGTATACTTGTCAAGCAATTTAAGAACGTCCTTCACGTAGGAATTTTAATCTTTCCGTTCTTACGTATACACCATGGGTGTACCATCATCTTACTCGTTAGTGTGGACTTGCCTAACAGCATCGACTGTTTCCTTACTTTCAGGCTACTTTGCAAGTGTTCACCATCATAAAGTCGCTGCCGATCGTGACCGTATTTAAACAATCAAGAAGTCAACCATTCTCAATGCAATTATACGAAGTGCTCACAGTGGCACCTAGATACTCGTCAAGTCGACAACGCAAACAAAGAATCAAGTGCTGTACTCACCACTTTGGAAGAGAACTCCAGCAGATGGCAGGACCCAAGCTACGTCATATCGACCTTTTAGTGGTGGCCGTAGCCGTGGCCGTAGCCGTGACCGTAGCCATGAGAAATGATGGGAGCGGCAATAGCGACGGCACCGTGACCGTGTCCGTAGCCGCCGAAGCCACCATGGATAGCAACACCATGGCCGTAGCCGTGGCCGTATCCATGTCCGTATCCGCGGACGGAGGCGGTCACGCCGTGGTTGACGTGGGAGGAGTAGTGGGCGGTCGTGTAGTTGGGCACCTTGATGGCAACAGGGACAGCGACGGCGACGGCGTGGTGGCCATGGCCGTGGCCGTAGCCGAGACCGCCGTAGCCGAAGCCGCCGTGGCCGAAGCCTCCGTGGCCGTAACCACCGTGGCCGTAGCCAAAACCACCGATGAATCCGGCGGAAGCAGCGGCGACAAGGCCGAGAAGAGCGACGGCGAACTACAAAAAAAGTAGCAAATGACGACAAAACTATGAGAACTAGGAACCTTAATTGTTTCAGTTTTCTCGGAATTGAAATTCTATTCTAAAAGTGACGAAATATATTACTAGTCGATGCTCATGTCTTTACTGCGATCCTGTCCCGTACATGCAAGGCTCCTCATTCATTGTTAAAATATCTCGAACAGCAAATTATTCTAATAAAAGAGACAAATTTAAAGAGCGCTGAGCACGTGTGATCCCCTTATAAAACCATCCAGATAAGCAGAAATCTGACCTAACGAGTTTCGGATAAGTTCATAGCTACAGCACTACAACAAGCTTTAGAGAGTTTCAAGGAGCACACTAGGTATCCCGGTACCCATAGAAACTGCAATCTCAGACAAAACTCATAAAGTTCTTGAAAGTTAAAACTCAAAATCCTCCTCCAAAAGGGATTGAATTCGGGTTCACCGATCTTAACTTTTAAAGAAGTTCCGAAACAGTCTTCCGGCGTAGCTTTTTCTAGATCCTAGGGTTAATCCAGATAAAGACCGTAATCGGTCGTTTGCGAGTTTAACGCCGTATATCCACCGCGTAAGTCCAGGGTCGGAGAAGACGGACCAGCAAGCGTCGACCACTGCGCCGAATCCCTAAGACTTAGGAGACACCGAAGCGTACTCACAAGAGCGTTCATGTTGAGTTTAGTAGAGTTGCTTCGAACAAAGCACAGTGACCGCTCCCTCGACGAGGCCAGCCTTATATACGAGCCTTCCACGTCACGTAATTTCGTTTCCCAGCAATAAGCGGACAAACAAAAAAGAGGTGTGGTACACTGCCCTTAACTGGACAGGCATCACTTCAATGACAGGCTGCTTGTGGGCTTCCTTTTGTCTTGCTTTCCTTTGCTTTCTTGATCAATCTGGGCGAATTTGGCTGCCGCGGATTGGAGCAAAATGCCGTTGCCGACCTTGGGCGTGTCTCTCAGGAGACTCGGGACCCCAAGACAGCCGTCCCGCGGTGGAAACAACAGTCCCCGTGTATATACACAGCGCTGTCAAGGTGAGGTAGAGCTAAACGCCAAGGGGCGTCGGCCTCGAAGCAGGGGGACCTCACCGGCGGGCATTCCTCCGAAAAGAACCGCGGGGCCCTTTGGCAACTACAGGAATTCCGCGACTCCGGAAAAGACCGCGACGGAGGCCCTCCGGGTATCAGCTGGATCTCCAAGACGCGTGGGCCCGACACGGACAACCTTTTTCTCTTTTCTTTTTTTTTTTCCGATGGCGTTCAATCGAAATGCTCCCGTGGAAGGCAAGTGACGTATGGTACGATTATGTAACTGTTCATACTCGGTTTCACACGAAGTCCCACGTCAGCCGACAATACGCGGAGCGCAAGTTCGTCTGCATTTTTGGCAGGGGTCGTGGTGACGTCAGAACGCCGAGCTCTGCTTGGCTCTGATCCGAAGGGTAATGGGTGGACCCCAGGGGAGCTAGCACTAAGGTCTACCCCTATCCTTCCATCAGAACTCGGAGCTCGGCGTTCTGACGTCACCACGGTCCCTGTAAAAGGAGCAGACGAACTTGGGCTCCGCATACGATTCGATGGAGCCAATCGAACAGCGCCAAAAGTGCATTGTTAGGGCGATTGTCTTTGTGGGTTTCCTATATCATCGGGTAAACCAATCACGCAGAGAAAAAGCGCAGGATCATGGCGCATTCAATGTACGTGATTGGTTAAGTCGGTGATATAGCAGACGCACAAAGACGACGAGCGCCGTGATGGTGCACTTTTGGCGCTGACTGATAGGCTCCGTCAAATCCTAGCTTCGACTAAGGTCGCACTTGAATTAACAGACATGTGCAAAAGTCGCCTTCTGCCCGCTGCCATCCTTGTCTGCTGGGCTGTGAAACGCCCTCTGAGCGTGCGCTATTACTCTGATGTGCGGTATATCGGCCGCTGCTTGCGTTTACAGCTCAGTGATTCAGCATTTTTGGCCCGGGTGATAAGCGATGGAAATGAACAGCGTCTCTTCCCAGCGCTTTCAATAAGAGGGTCTATAGTCATGACCCTCTTATTGAAAGCACTGGAAAGAGACGCTGTTCCGAATTTACGTTCCCGCGAACTTCCGGTCAAATGAAGGGACAAACAACCCTCACTACAGCGCCGCTTCTTGCAACGTTCATGAAATATTTCATGACCAGATTTAACTTTTACATGTGGTTAGCTAAAAATGACCGGTTAGCGAAAGATTCGTTGGAGATTCTTTTAGTGGTTCTGTAAAAAACGAGCGATCTCCTCTCATGTGTTTTATGTGGCAGAGCAGAAGGGCCTCGTTGGATCTCCAACTTTGTGATCTGTCAAACTTCATCGTTCCAGAGATTTTTTAGTCTATAGGCACTTCAGTTTAGAGCAAAAACTACTGTTACTTCTGCGTCTAGTCGAGCTTCTGAGCCACCAAAAACTTTCGCTTGTACAACAAGGTTGGTGTGAGGAGACAGCGACCCGGAGTCCAGCAGAGCTCTATGCTGTTGGGTCGCGATTCCGTGCATGCGTTCGTTGGGAGGCAGCAGGCACCGGTTTACTGCAACATACCACCTTAATTATTAATTAATTCATTCCTATCTCCCTTCCTTTCCTCCATTGTACCTACACTTCCCTTCAACCAAAACAGGATGACGAAGATGACCCCTCCTGCAGAGACAGACCATGGTCCTGTACTCTTTTCCCTCTAAACAACGACCTACTACTTTTACAAGAACTACGAGGACTCGAGTCTATAACATCTTGTGTGACCACAGTGACGAATCGCAGCTGAAACGAAATCAAGTTGTACACAAAACCGTCAATCAGTTTCTTGGGAGAGAATTTGAAGTAATCTCATTTTGCCAGTGTATCTCTCGTGTTTTATTATAAAACGCTAATTAATGTGTGTTAGCTCTCTCGTTTTGACTTAGTCCGACAAACAAACTCCAGCTATGCCGTTTGTTCAAAAGCATGTTCTGCTGTCCTGTGGATAATCATATTATGTGGATAACCCCTTCGACTTTCCAATAAACTTTTGTTTTGTCCTGCTGTGACCAGATGGTAGCGCTCAGGTGTTTGAAAGGTTGCCGACAATCTGGTTTTAGCACGCCTGCAAGCAACGTTTGTTGGTGTTTGAATGATCGCATTCATTTTTTTTTTTTTTTCATCTTTTGCAGAGGAATTGGACGACTCCCACCATCGGCCACCCAGCGTACTCAAAGAACTACAATGCTGGCATCTTCGAACTCGCTAATTTATATTGCTGTAACCGCTTTTTTCGCTACCCTAGGTCCGTAAGTGTGTCCTAGCATGATGTGCATCTTCTCACTAGATTGTTATCAGTCCTTGCGTTGCACTAGTCACGGCTGCCATGATTTGGATGAACGACAGACCTAACACACACCGATAGAAGCACTGACTTTGATCATCCAGAAATGAGTCAGGATTTAATCGATGTTTTGGCGAGGTAACCTGTAGCAGGCCGGAAGAGCAAATATTTTTCGGCGTTCGTAAATATCAAGTTCAAAGGGTTTTAAAAATAAGGTAAGAAACAGTAAATGAATTACTAGGTCACTGCCTTCAATCCCAAGGTGCAAACCTACGAACCTTTAATTCTTGGTAACTGTAACCAGGGATGGGCAGTATTTCAAATACAAGTATTTGAAATACGTATTTCAAATACTTTGTGTATTTTGCATTTGTATTTAATTACAAATTGGGTAATGTATTTGACGTGTGTATTTAAATTCTAAAACGTGGGTATTTCAAATACAATTGTAATTAAATACAATTTTGTGCGCGAAAATACATCCCTCAAATTTATTGTCACTGTCCAGGGCAGGAAGAAAACTACGTTCTGCACCGAATGCAATGTCTCTCAATCAAGCACAAGCGTTTAGTGACTTTGTGATTACGGTGCTAGTCCAGGAAAAGAATAGTGACGAAATCGACGTTAACAGGCAGACTGGCTATATAAGTGCCTGTGACAACTTGTGATGCTTTCCAGCCTGATTTCCATCCATATTTTTGCCTGGAACATTCTGAATGCGCGGGTCGTCCAGATTTTCGTAACTGGTGCGAGTTGCAACAATAAAAGATTCTCTAGCTATAGTCTGTTTCACCTTATGATGTACCGCAGGAAAGGCTACAAGCGCGAGCTCCTTGCTCTGGGGCACATCTCGGCGGCACAAGCTCTCGTGACTTAAGAGCGGCTGCCAACGCTATGAGCTCGCGCTTCTAGCCTTCGCTGCAGTACAACATAAGGTGAAACAAAGTATAGTGCTGCGCGTCTTGGTCGTCTCGGTTCTTTGTTGGTCTATACCAACATGTAATCGACAAAAAAAGCTGCTTGAAGCTCTGTACTTTTTTCACCTATTACGTCCAAGCTGATTACATTTTTTGTTATTATATTTCTATTACGTTACTAGAGGCTCGCACACTAACTCCCGAGTGTGCGATGCAAAACTAAAATGAGATACCCAGAAACCCGTTGCAGGTGCCCTGAAGTCGCTGACGCAAATTTTGAGGAATGTATTTGGAAAAGTATTTGGAGGAGACCAAATATATATGGTTGCATTTGTATCTTGCATTTAAATGCTTTTTTGGAAATGTATTTAGATTTGTAATTAAATACATTTTGGACGAAGTATTTTGTATTTGTATTCCGATACAAATTTGCATGTATTTTGCCCATCCCTGACTGTAACTATATCCCAGCTATGTGCAATGTGTATAATTAACTTTTAACTTCGTTTTTTGTAGATACTTTTATTGCATCTACAGCAAAACGAACGATTCTTGTTTGCACACAAAGTCTCTAAGGAGACGAAGCACGGTCTAAACATATTCCAAAGCTTGTTTTCCATCAACTGCGGGCGCTGTCAAAGCCAAAAGGACGCACAACCACAACACAGACCATACACCCAAAGTTACGGCGCCTTATCTACGTCCCATTGAATGAGCAGGCGGATGACCACGCAGACAAAGATAGCGAACAGGTTGCACCTTCGGCGTGGCCTTACTGGTCCTTCGGCTCGTAGCGTCGGCTGCGCTCGGGTCTAACGTGAAACGAAGTACAACACGAACGTTTCATTCCAAGCAAGGTGGCGAGTATCGATCAAAATGCTGTCGGTATGAAACCGCTGGGACAAAGCCCATGGCGAGTAACGGTACCTGGACCTATGTAAATGGTCTAAAGGTTCAGAGGAAGAAGCAGCAATGATCGAATGGAATAAATTTCACAAAATGGCCCGAAGAGAATATCTTTGGCGGGGCCGGAAATTAAACTCCGAGTCTCCTCCCTACCATTTAGGTATGCTAACCATCACACTAATGTCGTTGCTAAATGAAAGAAGCGTGGTTTTCCTGTGCTTGTCCTCCGTGTTTTATTCTTTTTTTTTTTTATTTTAAGCATTACACTAACTTGCCTGGTTTTTAGGCGTTTCCTGCTGTCTTCTGAATACACCAAAACGGAATGTATCCAATCATAGATGTTCTGGGGCCACAAGCCCCCGCGTGGAATCCAGACCCACAGTTTCTATCACATGGTATGAGCTCTTTGTGCTCCACAGGTCCTCTCATTGGTTCTCCCGTCACGTGTACATGCGTGAATTCTTGTTGTTGTTGTTGTTGCTGCTGTTTCGTTTTATTGACGGGGTTTACAAGAGGCGT